TAGTTCAATAGTTGTTGAAAATGTTAATAGACTATAAGTCGGTGTCAAACATTCAAAAAAAATAAAAAAATAAAAAAAGAGTCGGAGTCAAACATTTCAATCTCCAGAGTCGGAGTCCGACTCTGGAACTTTGTATAATGTCCATTTGACACAAATGGGAAACCGGTGTCCCTTTTATATATTTTTTCTGACGCTCTAATAACAAGTAAAAATACATTTATTATTTTTTAATTATAAAAAGCAGTTTAATAGTTCAATAGTTGTTGAAAATGTTAATAGAGTATAAATCGGTGTCAAACATTCAAAAAAATTAAAAAAAAGAGTCGGAGTCAAACATTTCAATCTTCAGAGTCGGAGCCTGACTCCGAAGCTTTGTATAATATCCATTTGACATAAATGGGAAACCGGTGTCCCTTTTATATATTTTTTTCCGACGCTCTAATAACAAGTAAAATTATATTTATTATTTTTTAATTATAAAAAGCAGTTTAATAGTTCCTTTTTTAATTTAGTCTCGGAGCTTTAGTTTAATAATTCCGGAGCTTTGCATACCAACTCCAGAGCTTCACGGTAAATAAATTAATATATACTTGTAACTTAATCTTTTGAGTGAGTTTTATATACAAAATGAATATAAAAATGATGGTGATGAATTTTATTTTCAAAAATTCTATTTTTAATCCTCATTTAAACTTGCTCAAAATAGCCATGGATCGAAAAAGGGAAGAAAATGTCAAAGAGGAGAAATTGTTTTTCTTTGAAATCCAGAAATTAAGAAGAAGTATTTTTATTTTGTGTGGTCTCTTCTTTCCAAAGATCATTACCCTAAAGGTTTACCTCAAAAGGTTCAAAATACTTATCGCATTTGTGTCTAGCACATACTTCTAAGCACTAAAATTTATTGATAAAAAACAACCGGAAATAGATTTGACTGCGGAAATATTAACCAACAGATGAGATGACGTAGAAAGGATCATCTTTCTTCCGTATTAAAATAAAGCTTATTTTGAATTCGATTTTCCTTGGAAACAAAAATAACATTTGACTCAATTTGTGATTAGCGTCCTTTTATAAATATGGCTTATTTTTACGCAGTTTCTTTTTAAAAAACAAAAAGCTTACGTGTTAGCTAAAAAAAGTAAATGATTTACCCCGATTTTCGTGTAGGCGTTTATCACGTATGCCCGGGTATTAATAGATTAAACCTTTCGAAATAAAGTTTAATATTGCTTAGTGTAATTCGTTGACGCAATTAAGACACCGGTGCCAGGGTAGCTCAGGGGATTGAGTGCTTACTTCCCACAGAGGTGAAACGAGTTAGATCCCAGCGATAGTTTGGAGATACTAACTCCGTACCCGGCTATTATTATTAAATATCCAAAAATTATTATCTATTAAATAACGAAAACATTTCGGAATGAATTAAGCCTCTGCATTTATTATTTAATTAGCCTAAAGACGTTTGTGGTGATAGTAATAATCTTAAAATATACCAGACTAAATAAAAATTACAGGAAATTTTTTCAATTAGCCTGGCGCGTTGTGAACGACGCCAACAATTGCAAAGAGCTAGATATTTCAATCAGCCAACTATGATTATATCAATCCCAAACTTATCCAAACTTATGACTTTTGTGTACCCTTTCTAAATTTTTCGTAACGCTGTGTACCACTAATAATTTTTTTTTTTTTAAATATGTTTATTTTTATTTTTTGGTGCGAAAGATAAAAATTATATATTATAAAAATAAACAAAATAATTAGAATTTATTACAAACCTTTACTATAAAAAATTCGCACAAAAGTTAAAAAATCACAACTGTCTGTTGACACCACTAATTATTAAGTGTTAACTCTGCAAAAAATAGTCAATAGAAAAATACGTAATCGTAAATTTACATTGCTGGATTTGATTTTAAATAAAATCATTTGAAATTTTCGCTTGTTGCAAGATATTTCGCATAAGAACGCGTCCCCCCACTAAACTGTTCCCGCACCCCTGGGGGTACGCGTGCCACACTTTAGGAAACACTGGGATAGAGTATTCACCTCCCAATGAGGTGAACCCAGGTTCGAATTCCAGCGGTGGCTTGTTATTACAGATTCTGCTCCCGAGTCACACCAGCCACAGTGCTGACGTAAAATATCCTCAGAGGTAGACGGATCATGGGTTAGAGTCCCCTTATCGTCAGGCTAAACGTGGGAGGAGTTCGTGGTTTTCCTCTGCGTGTAATGCGATTGCGGGTTACTTTCATGTAGAAGTCCTCCATGAAGGCGAGTTTCTCCCAATACTTATTCCATTTTATTGTCCTTTGGATTGGGTTCAAAATTACTAGGCTACGGAGTAGAACGTTAGTAGGCATAAACCGAAAATCGGGTTGGCTGTTCAACGACTTTCATAAGATAAAAATAAAATGAGACACCGGTGTCCCTTTTACACATTTTTTTCTGACTCTGTAATTATTAGTAAGAAATATTTTGGAACTTTTCAATTATTAAAAACAGTGTAATAGTTAATAAAAAAATTTCAGATTATCGGAATTTTATTTGTACTAAAATGTCCAATCCAACCAAAGTAGTGAGAATTTTTTTTTTTCATTCATATTCAAAAATGTATCAATAATTGATTTAGCAAATTAAAGAAATTTCGATGATGGATAACTGTCTCTCTCAGGTCTAAATAACAGCGAATAAGTGATAATTTTAAACATTATTATTTGGAAGTGAACCATGTTTTTTAAGTGAACCATGTTTGGAAGTTTACCTTTATGCAGAAAAAGACACCGGTGTTTCCTGCTGTATTTCATAAACACAAATTACTAAAATGCTAAATATTAATTGAAAAATTATTGCTTGGAAGTGAAGATTTTACCTTTAACCCCTTGGGGACGGTTGATTCAGAAAAGCATTCGAACAAAATCAGAATCAAGTTGTAATTAAATAAAAAACGGTAACTTAAATGTAGTCGTTACTAATTTGACAGACTTACTTTGCTTTTACACTAATTATTGTTAGTTTAATCATATATATAATCAATGTTAATTCAAAGTATAACTAAATAGTTTTATTTTGAACAAAGTATTGGTGAATGAAATAAATCAAACAATTATAACTCCGCCCACAAATAAACTGCTAAAGAAATACTTTGATTACCAGTTTTATATTTTTACCCTGATTGATACGGTTTTATGCTGTCACGTATTTGTGACAGTCGGCGCGAAAGGGTTAAAGCAAAAAAAATGACAGGGGTGTATCATGCTGTATTTCATAACCATAAATTATTTTTAAATTAATATTGAACTAATTTAATTAAATTTAATATTAAAAAATTAAATATAATATTTTTCACTTATTTTGACCTAAACAATAATTAATTAATTATGAAAAATGTTTGAAAAATATGTTGATTAAAAATAATGCGTCTAAGGGTTAAGCAATTTTAAAATTTTATTTTTATTTAAATAATTTAATTCAGATATAATCTTAAGCAAATAAAAAAAAACTGAAGCATTCATCGTGATACTTTTCCTGACATAGTTAAAAAAAAGTATACTTTAAAAACATAATTTTCCAACTTTGCATACAATAATACATGAAATATAAAAAAGATAGAAAAGCTATTCACTCGTTTGCTTTAGATTTATTAACTTTTATTACTGTTAGACATATCATCAAATGAAAATTTCATATTTTGAATATTTCACTTAGCACTATGAAAGAAAAAAAAACATTAAAAGCTTATTCATAACGTTCTTTAAAAAACTGATTACATAAAAAATAAACATAAAAATTGTCAACATATTTTAAAGAAATAAAAACAAAATCTGTAATCAAAGGTACAGGAAATATTTAGCTTAAAATATATACATTTAGGATGTAAAATTATTTTTTATATACATTATTAAAATGAAGAGTTCATCGAATCACAATTGATAAACTACCACTCTAAAATATATATTTGCTGTCCGGAGCAAGTTGGCATCTATATTTTATTCTTGAATAACTAAGTGTTATTGCTTACAATCCTATGTAAATGATAAATATCAATAAAACGATTTTTTTTCTTAGCTTTCACATTGTTATTTTCAATTCTCGATTATATTCAAGTGTGAAAAATTATAACAGCATAAAGTACAACGCCGCTCGAATTATCTCGAGTGTGTACAGTTTGGCCTGTTTAGCGTGCTCGAATTAACTTGAGCGCACAAGTTAAGGGGTTAACGCCTCTCACAAAAATGTTGAGTTCAAACTTAATGAGTTTTAGTGAAAACTTTAGCTTGAAATAATCATTTTGTGTATCCTTGAAAAACATGTTCGTGAATAACAGACAAGAGACAGAATGATAGTAATAAAAAGGAGACAAACCTATATCATTTAAATACATTTGTGACTACCATTGTATGTTATTTTTTAATGAAAACATATTTGTGTGACTTTTAAACGCTGCATTGAAAAAGGAAATTCTTACTAGTACAAACATGAAGTTACGTACACTATTGAGTCTCTAAGGTTAAATATAACCACTAAGTCCCTCAGGCTGAAAATAATTCTGATAAGCCCCTAAGGCTAATTACAACCAATTTGGTAGGAAACTATTTTAAAGCACATGAAATATTTTGTGATGATTTAGAAAAATCGTAGCAATTAAATATTAAAAATTTAGAGAGAATTAAAAAACTAAAAAAGAAAGTTTTTTTTTCCTTTTACTATCAAAAGTATACTATTGAATTTGAATATTTCTAAATTTAATTTTTGTGCACTATATAAATTCAATTTTTTTTAAATATTTTTTATACAAAAATTTGCTACGATTGAAATAAATTTTTCATAATATTTTTAATTCTAAAATTTTGTTTTTTTATTATTTTACAAAAAAATAGTTATGGGATACTCCAATTTAATACTTTTTCTCTGAAGTAATATCACTCCAAACACTTTATTTTGCAATCTTTAGTACTAAAAAATACATAAAATTTTAATAAATGAAATTATTTACTTACGTTAAAGCATCATTGCGAATATAGTCCTCGCGATTGAGAAACTCTTTAACATAAATTTTCACTTTCCCATTCTTGAATTTTTCAGTTCAGAAAGTTAACTTGAGTTCACAAAACAAAGTTTCTCGTATAGTCAAAGTTTCGTTCCAACAGTAAACAAAAACACTCACAATAAACAAAAACAATCCTTTCGGCAATATGAGACACAATATAAATGATACATAAAATGGAAATTAATATCCAATGGTAGCAGTGTGGTTAGCTAGAGAAGTTATTGCTGTATTAGTAATGATATCATTGCAACTGAAAGCAAACGATAGCGAGAGGACAACGACCCTTCCTCCCAAGAACGTAGCGCTGCCGAGGGAAAAAAAGGATAGACTCTCCTCTCTGGATCTTCTGTTTGGAAGATGCTTTCTCCGTTGCCGGTTTGAATCAAATGATACGTTCTTTTGGAGGTTCGGCACACTTGCTGCTTGTATGTGGGTCAGTGGCGGTCATGGCTAGACTATCATAGAGAAAAGCAGAGAGATTTCACTCATAGTAGGTTCGGAGTACTCGTGCCCTATTTGTGAGCCAACCGGTTTTTGTCGCTTTCTGACCCACTTAATTTGTATTTATCTCTTTTTTTTTTTATTTAATTTTTTATATTTTATTTATCTTTTTTTTATCATTAGCTTCTTCATTCTTATCCAAATCGCCAGCGCATCGCTTTTCTATTTTGATTTTGCGTTCGAATCAGTTGCGCCTTTTTTAATGTTAGCGACGCCTTTGAGAGTCACGACCTTTTGATTTTTTTTCTTCTTCTTTTTATGTTCTTATGTCATCCGTAGATGTATGTTTACAACGGTATGTACCGTTGCATGAGGATGACATCGATATGTTTAACATCGGTATATTCTTAGATGTATTTTCTCTTTCTATTCTTCCTTTCTTTTATCCCAGTTCTTTGATCCCTTGTTCTTCTTTTAACAGTTCCTGGGAAATTATACCTGAATCGCCTTTAAAGTAACAGCAGATTTGATTAAATTTATTTTAGAAACAAATTGCTTCTTTGTTTAACTGTTCTTTTCCAAAAAGTTTTATTCTCAGGTTTTTCGCTTTTGATTTTGACTGATGTTTTATTTGTTTCTCCTCCTGAAATTAAAAAGAAAGAAATAGATAAATAAAAATAGCAAGCGGTGCTTTTAACTTCGCGTTATTTTTTTAAAATATGTCTAAAAGGATATTGAACATACGTTTGATATCCTTAAATGAACCACTATAAAACCTTTACATACAGATGGCACACCGGTGTACCTCTTATATTTTTTTCTGACACTTTAATAACAAATAAAAATGCATTTAGGTATTTTTTTAATTATATGAAACAAACTAATAGCTATTAAAATATTTTTTAAATTATCAGAATTACATTTATACTAAAATATAAAATCCAAAAAGAGTAGTTTGTAATTTTTTTTTCACTCATATTAAAAAATTTATCAGTAATTGATGTTTACAACGGTATGTACCGTTGCATGAGGATCACATCGATAGTTTAACATCGGTATATTCTTAGATGTATTTTCTCTTTCTATTCTTCTTTTCTTTTATCCCAGTTCTTTGATCCCTTGTTCTTCTTTTAAAAGTTCCTGGGAAATTATGCTTGAATCGCCTTTAAAGTAACCGCAGAATTGATTAAATTTATTTTAGAAGCAAATTGCTTCTTTGTTTAACTGTTCTCTTCCTAAATTTTAATTCTCGGGTTTTCCACTTTTGATTTAAATTGATTTTTATTTGTTTCTCCTCCTGAAATTAAAAAGAAAGAAATAGATAAATAAAAAGAAATAGCAAGCGGTGCTTTTAACTTTGCGTTATTTTTTTAAATATGTTTTAAAGGATATTAACCCCTTTGAAGGCCGTGGTAAGTATACTTACCACCACGCTTTACCACTTTTAATTTAGGTTTCCATTTTTCAATAACTTCAGCTTTCTTGAAGTGAGTTTGAGTAAAATTGGTAACCATTTGTCACTTTTAAGAAACGTATAAAAGTTGTAAAATACATAATTCCTTCTGAAGTTTGCAGTATTTAAGGAATTTATTTTATAAATAAAGAAAAATAAAAGTCAGTAAGTTCCTAATAGGTCATGTTAAATATATTTACCACCAAAAAAATGGCATTTTTATAAACTAAATGAGTTTTTTTCATATCAATTACTGTTCTTAAAACAATTTCAAATACAAAAATGCTTTAATTTACCTTTACAAGAAATGAAGGACCCATTAAAGGGTTAACACGTTGAATGCCACTCTAATTTTACATGTCTTGCCCGTCTAGTAACGGTAAATATCTACAGACTAAATTTGCAAATATTAGACAGATTTTGCTTGCTTTTTAAAAGGTTTAGCATGACATATCTGAAAAAAGTGGTGAATTATATAAGCCTGCGAATTGTTTAGAAATAGCGATGGATTAAAATCTACTAAATTGAATTTATTGAACCAAGAATCACAATGAATAAACTAACACTTGAAAATATTTATTCGCTATCCGGAGCAAGTTGGCATCTCTGTGTATATAAAAAAAACTATTTTTGTGTATTCTGTATTGCAATAACTTCTTCAAACCATTTTAGTAACAATAATAATATAAAAAAAAAATTAAAAATTTACTCGAATTATGTGTTTCTAATAATTTTGGTTTCTATTAATGTGTTTCTAAAATTCAGTGCCGGTCACCGGTGACCCCCATGGCATTCAATGTGTTAAACATGCGTTTAACATCCTTAAGTGAACCACTATAAAACCTTTTCATACAGATGGGACACCGGTGTACCTTATATATATTTTTTTTCTGACGCTTTAAATTACAAATAAAATTGCATATATTTAGGTATTTTTTAATTATGAAAAACAATCTAATAGGTATTAAAATATTTTTTAGATTATCGGAATTGCATTTATACTAAAATATAAAATCCAAAAAAAGTAGTTTGAAATTTTTTTCTCTCCTATTAAAAAATTTATCAATAACTGATTTTGTAAAGAAAAAAAGTTTAATGAGGCATAAATGTTTCTCTTAGGTCTAACTAACTGCAAACAGCGCAAATTTTAAATCTTATTGTTAAGAAAAGTATTTGGAAGATTTTACCCGTAACGTAGATGTTTCATGCTGTATTTCTAAACCATAAATTATTTAAATATTAGAAATAATATTCCAACTTATTATGACCTAAGTTAAAAGTATTAATAATATGTTTCATAAAAATTCTGCGTTAAAGTGATGAAATCTAGGCGTTTTTTAAAATATTCTGTTTTTTCCATAACGATATTCTTTCTTGAACGCAAAAAGTACTTAATTTGTATCCAATCCATTGTTGTATTTTAAATTAATATTTAGTCTCGAATTCTCAATAATCTGTTTGATACAAAAATAATTCTTTCAGCTATTGTTTTAAATAAAATATCTTTCCCATCTAATTAAATAATTTCACATGATTCACTATTTACACAGTAGCATACCTAAAAAATAATTCCTAAAAACTTAACTCCGCAAAGTTTCGCATTGAAAAACTATATGCCTTAGTAAAGGGGATCTAACATGGAAGCATTGTACGCAAACAATTTGAATTTAAAATTTATGTGAAATTATTAAAATATTTTTAAGTAATAAAATGGTTTTAAAAAAATATTTTATTACAATTTAGTAAAATATTTTAAAAAAGGGAATATAGTTAAAAGTGATTTTATTTGTTTCTCCACCGAAAATAAAAAATAAAAATCAAAGCTTTTCTTAGACTTCGAATTACTTTCTTATAGTTTACACCATACCTGCCAACTTTCACTCTGTCCGAGAATGGATTTTCAGAGTATTTGTAAAACAATAAACGAAAAACAATCTGACTCAAAAATATATTTATATTTTGATCCCGTTGAAATTCGCTTGCGCAAGGATTATTATGCATTCATATATTTATTGTAATTATTTATATGTAGTGGTGGTCAAACTCATTTATAATTATCATTATAATTCAAAAAGTTAATTGGAATAACACAAGTATTTCTACCACTTTAAATATGAAAATAAAATCTTCCGGAAAATCCGGAAGAGTTGGCAGGTATGGTTTACACGGCTAAATTTGAAAATGAAACACTTGAAAAATTCTGAGAGTTTTTAAATACATCCTGCTTTTTCCATGACAACAATTTTAATTGAACGTAAGAAAATATTAACAGTATTTTAAACTACCAACTGGAAACTCAAAGCTAAGAGGTGGAAAGTTTGGTACAACATTGTTAAGCATTTTTAGACCCACAAGGGCTGTAGCGCCATAAAAGAAAAGTCAGTGTTTTTAAATCTGATGCATGTTGCCCTTCAAATCAATATTTAGCACCAAATATAAAATTGTCTATTCAGGACAAAAGTAACTCTACTTTACTGAATAGGTTTAAATTAAAATATTTGGACCCATCCCCGCCTAGTTAAATAATATTTTGCTGCTCACAGTTGCTTACTTAAAATCTAATCCCTTAAGACTTATTTCCGTTAAGTTTCGGATTGAGAAACTAAAAACTGCAGTATTAAAAGTTGCCTAATGCAAGGCTAATGTGTGTAAATAGTACACTGTAAAAAATTCTGAATCAAATTACTGTAAAAAGTACTGGCCCCGTGAGTCCCGCACCATAAAATCCATTTTACCGCAAAGCCATTTCTACCGTAAAACTTTATACTGTAATTTTTGCAATAATATTTAATTGCTTTTTTTAGAGTAAATATTGATGCAAAAATTAAGGTATAGTAGGTTTTTTTGTACCGTGAGATTTTAAGTACTGGCACTTCGGGTGCAAGTACTTTTCACTATAATTTGATCCGGAATTCTTTACAATACTTTTCCAATATTCAATTTCCCTTCTAAGTTTGTGGACCGCTTTATTGGTCAATTTAATAACATAATTTTAGTAAGGGAGAGTAATAACAAGTAAACTAAGGGACAACGTTTTTCTGATTAATTGTGAAAATATAAAAAGCAAAGGTTTAAATGTATCATACATTTTTAGCGATCTTTACACGTAGGAAAAACAAAATAGATAAAACAATTGCACAATACATGCTTAACGCTATTTGCATCTCCTTTTTTTTAAAAAACAAAAATCTGACTCTAAATTACAGAGCATTTTACACATTCAAATTAAGCTAGTAATCATAATATTTATGATATAAATAAATGTAATGCTTTTAAAATGTTTAATTTAAAAAAAATTAAATATTTTTTTAAAGAAAAGAAGAGTGAATCCAATTAAAATAAATTGAAAAAAGGCTAAGGACGTAAACGCCACACTTTCTAAAAATAATTCCTAAAAAAACGTAACATTTCACTGAATTTATATCGTCTTCTAATGAGTTAGCGTTATTCAGAGCACATTTAACTCGTCTATGCCATTAAACTGATTATCACAGCAATAAAGAAAATGATTCACTCAGCAAGCAGTATCTTCACAGAATGGGCCTGTTAATGGTGACTTAAACACGATATTTATTGATCCTTTTAAAAACAGTTGGTGGCGATAATTAGCGCGATAATATTTCGATTCGTATTAAGCGTTTTTCGTAATGATAGTGATATTGTTGTATATAATTGTTGTGTATAATTATCGTTTATTTGATATTAAAATTCATTATCATGATATATTCTGAGAATATTAAATATCACGATTAAAATATCCTATCTCTTATCCCCGACCAAACATTTTGCGCCATTTTAGGACTCCAACTTCTAACAGCAATGATGTCATGTGATTTTAATCCCGATCAGATGACATGGATAGTGCCTGAGATGTTACACCCCTCTCAAATTTTCTATTCGACATCTAAAGGGACATCTTTCAGTTATGAAAAATTTAACGATCACCTTGCTGCTGGATCAGTACCCCTAGATCAGTACTCCTGGATCGGTACCCCTAGAGGTATTGATTTGTTATGGGAACTTAGAGAAATTTGTGACACCGACATATTTAACGTGCACCAGTCATTATTTAATACACGGGAATTCTTCAGCTGGCTGGATTCGAACTCTCGCTCTCACGAATATGAGTCCAACGCCCTACCAACCGGGCTATCTGGGCCCCATGTTTATATATTTTATTTATTTTATAACCGTCATTGAACAGCTGATCCGAATTGGGGCAACCGTCACGACAGGTTCATTTTCTTATTATATTTTATAACCGTCGTTGAACAGTCAACCAAAACTTATGAGTTTACGACTACCAGTGTTCAACTCCATAGCGTTGTAATTTAAGCCCAATCCAGAAGACAAGGGGACGCGAAGGGTCAAGCATTGGGAGAAATTTGCCTTCGCGGAGAACTTTTTTGATAGAACTTACCCGCATTTACGTTACGGGAAGAGGAAAACTAAGAAAACCTCCCACGGTTAGCCTGACGGCAAGGGGACTCTATCACATGATCCGTCTACCACTGAGGATATTTTTACGCCAGAACTGTGGTCTGTGCGAGCTGGGTGAGGAATTCGTATCAACCAGCCATCGCTGGGATACGAGCCCGGTTCACCTCATTGAAGGGCGATTACTCTATTCTCTGAGTCACCACGGGTCCCAGGTTTTTCTAAATATTTGTCTGCGTCTTTGAGAAAACACATGAACTTAACGCATCGCATCATAGATTAAAATGTATTAGTACTTTATTCCTACCACGCCCTGCCTACCAGGGAAGTTGAAACATTTAGTATTTAATCGAGTTTTAAAAAATTCCGGTTTGTACACAAAAAATGTAAGATGTCGAGAGAAACCGAGGATAAATTCTCCTGATTTTTTTATCAGTAAAGAGAAAGTATTCAAGATTTGTTTTAAAAAAATCACATGTAACAGGAAAAAAAAGAAAAAAAACATTATTTTACTCCGTTAGTGTTATGGATATCTTTCGATTTTCCTCAATTAAACCCTTAACGCACAGATTTTTTTGGAGAAAAAAAAACCATCCAAAAAAATCAATTTTTTTTTATGTAAAAAAACACACTTTTCTTTTGGTGGACAATTTTGATATACTACGCTTTCCATGGAAATAGGCTATATTCAGAGATGCCAACTGCTCCGGACACGTCAAAATAATTTTTAAAAAAAATGGTAAATAACTACAAAGTAAATTTGCAAATATTTGACTATTTTTGATTGCTTTTTAAAAGGTATTGCATGGCATAAGTACTTTAGAAATAGTAGTGGTTAAAAATCTACTGAATTGAATTTATTAAACCAAGAATCACAATTGATAAACTCCCACTTTAAAATATATATTTACTGTCCGGAGCAAGCCGGCATCTCAGTATAATATTTTATTCCTGAATAAATAAATATTATAGCTTACTATCCTATGTAAATGATAAATATCAATAAAATGATTTTTTTCCTTAACTTTCACATTGGTATTTTCAATTCTCGATTATATTCGAGTGTGAAAAATTATAGCAGCATAAAATACAGTGCCACTCGAATTATCTCGAGTGTGTACAGTTTGGCCTGTTAAGCGTGCTCGAATTAACTCGAGTGTACAAGTTAATGGGTTAAAGCTAGGAGATACATTTTCTAGTTCTTATCATAGTTTGAAAAATAATGCTCTGCAAATATCACAAAAATGTGGGGTTTTATTATAATTTTGTTTATGACAATGCATAGTTAGCTCCTTTTCTCTAATTAAGTGAATTAAAGTTTTTTATATAACATCTGATGACTATAAAAACTCTATTAATTCATCTCAAAAAAAAGAGGGTTGCATTTTGTAGTAAAAAGGGGTTTCGTCCTTCACCTTATTCGCAAGGGGGTTAATGGAACGAAAAAGGGTTGAGAACCTATGTAGTACCTGGATGTGCTTTCCGTTTCAACAGGTGATCTGTATTATATATTTTTTTTTTCGTAAATCGAGATATTTGTTCTCACTACTTAACCCCTTTACTTCCGTTCTTTATATTTCATTTTGAGAATATTGGAACAGATTTTTTCATATACTTCAACGGCAGGTCATAAGTTCAATGACAGGTCCCATGAAAAATTTTGAATGTTCTTAAACCTAAGTCTGTTGAAGTTTAATGTACTCTGGCTGATAAATTATAAAAAAAACTGAAAACTTGTCTTGGGAACCTACATAATCATTTGATTTATACTCTGTTGCAAGTTAAGAAAAGAACATTGCCATATAGGATCAAAGTAATCATCCGCGACAGCATATAGTTCCGTTTTATTTCGTTATCAAATTATACAAATAAGCTTTCAAAACAAGCTAGAAGTTAAGCTCGTCGGACAAAAATTTAGTTGATGCTATCTTTTGCGATATATATCATAGAATTATTAAAAAACGAGTTATAGTTTCGCTGTCTTATTTCAATCCTAGATTTAGCGACGTATTTCTATAAGTAAGGAGAACATTCGTTCTTGAAAAAGAAAGAACTATATGACGTTGCAAGAGCATTGGATTTGATTAGACCGCCAAAAATGGCGCTTCTTATGCTGATATGCCCTTAACAAATTAAATAAAACCTAAAGAATTTTTATTTTTAGCTGTAGAAAAAAATTCGTCTGCAAGAAACAATATGTATTATTCTTCTATCTGTTTCTTTAAATTCGAACAGGAAGATGCATATTTGTTACGATTTTCTCCTAGATTTAGCAACATATATCTGTAAGTAAGGAGAACATGAAACATATATGACGTTGCAAGACATTGGATTTGATTGGACCACCAAAAATGGCATATCTTATGCTGACATGCCCTTAACAAATCAAATGCTACTAGAAGAATTTTTATTTTTACTCATGTTTAGCTGTAGAAAAAAAATCGTCTGCAAGAAACAATGTTTATTATTCTTCCATCTGTTTCTTTAAATACGAACAGGAAGACGTATATTTGTTACGATTTTATCCTAGATTTGGCGAGGTATTTCTATAAGTAAGGAGAACATTCGTTCTTGAAAAAGAAAAAAACTATATGACGTTGCAAGAGCATTGGATATCATTAAAACACTGAAAATGGCGCGACTTATGCTGACATGACCTTAACAAATCAAATGCTACATGAAGAATTTTTATTTTTACCTATGTTTAATCGTCTGCAAGAAACAATATGTATTATTCTTCCATCAGTTTCTTTAAATGCGAGCAGGAAGACGCATATTTGTTACGATTTTTAAGATATCATTTTCATTAATTCTCATCAACAAAACAATAATTTTTATTCAACAAATTTTATTTCCCTCATTTCACACGATTCTCACGACACACGACAAGCAAGCAAAAAGAAGGTTTCTCAAAGTCGTTTCATGACTTGGAGATGGAGATGTACGTTCGAGCTGGGTGCTTGGCATCCATTTTTAGTGTACTTAGATGCAAACAAGATCTATTCATAAGGATAATGGTTCTTTTTGCAACAGAGTATAGTTCCTCTTTAGAGTTCTGTATTATTTAAGAGATTTTTCCGTTTTCTGCAAGTAAGAGTTTTTTTTAATCGAACAAAATGGTGTTATATTAAGCAAAATGGACCTAAAAGTCAATATTTATCACTTATTTATTTCCATTTGGGCTAAACATACTTTTCAAAAAAGTAAAAAGTGTTAATAAAAAGTGTTTCATTACTAGCATTCATTTTTCAGAAATAAAGTATTTCTGCCGAGTTTTACTTGTCTTCGCAATACTTTGAAAAAAGTGATTCATGACTGTACGTACCGAGTAGGAAATTATTTAAACACATAGATGTGTAATTGTGAACAGATAATTCAGAAGTAATGGAAATAGAAATTATGGAAATTGCTAAACCATTATTATAATTATGGATATAACGTATTATAACTATGGAAATTACTTATAAATGGAATTTACTAAACCAAGGATCATACATTGAAAGGTAGATATTTTATTTACATCGCACTAGTTGTTGCAGTTCATTTACGTCACACTAGAGCTGCACAATGGGTTATTGGTGACAGTCTGGGAAGCATCCCTGAGGATGATCCGAGGACATGCCATTACAATTTTGATCCTCTGCAGCGAGGATGGCATCCCCGTTTCGGTAGCTCGACGACCTGCGCGCGAAGTCGAGTACTTTACGGTAGAACAGTTTAACAAGGACCAATACCGTACATCGTCTGTCCCTATGCAGAATGATCCAAGTGGTCGCCGATCCGCACTCTGACCTCAGCCAGTGATGCTTGAATTCGGTGTTCTGCTGGGAACCGTGTCTTAGCGATTAGTACACCGCGGGACTATACATTAAAAGACTACCACTTAAAAATATTTATCCGCTATCCAGAGCAGGTTGACATCTCTGTTTGTAGGAAAAATTTCAAAAGCATTAAAATTTACTAAAAAAGCTTTATGTTATCAAAATAATATAGTTGTCATTATCTATAAAATATAATAAAAAGAGGTCACTTATCTATAAGATATGATGAAATATGTCTGCGTTTGTACGTACCGATACCGCGCACCCTCGTAACTTAGGTAGGCTGACCGCAGTCCACGGCGGGACCATACATTAAAAGACTATCACTTGAAAATATTTATCCGCTATCCAGAGCAAGTTGACATCTCTGTTTGAAGGAAAAGGCATTAAAATTGACTAAAAAAACTTTATGTTATCAAAATAATATAATTGTCACTTATCTATAAGATATAATAAAAAGAGGTCACTTATCTTATAAGATATGATGAAAAATGTCTCCGTTTTAACACTTTCTCTTTCGAGCTGTGACCTATAAATATCACGTTCAAGGAGAATCTTATTGACAAATTCATTGTTCGAATTTGAATATCGTATATTTTTGTTAAATTTAAGTAGTCTTTATTTAAATTTAATATAATTAAATTTGATATTTATTAACCCTTTGAACTCTAATGTCGCCAACAACAGTCATCAATTTAAAATTAAAAGTTTTTGTATATTGACGTACCTGAAAAAGATTTTGCAAAGTGATAGTGAGACAACAATTAAAGTTGGAAATTTTCCTAAAAATTAAACTGCTTAAACATTCAGGAGGTGAATAAGCTAACAAATTTAAAATTTTTTGCATCATTTTAAGGAATGTAATTTTACATGTCAAAAGTACGAAATTTGAGCAAAATCCGCTGAATTGTCCCTGAGAAATTTAATTGAAAAAAGTAAGGCACTTAAAATTCGATTTTTCGGAATTATTCGGCTGATTATGCTCAAGTTTTGAATTCTGCCACATAAAATTACATTCTTTCAAATGATGCAAAAAATTTTATACCTTACAATTTAAAAAATTTTCGACACTTCATAAATAAAATAATAAATTATTTTTTCACATGGAATTATCTTTGAATAAACAAATTTTATAATTTTGTGCAAAAATTGCAAATAAAATAACAAAGAAAAGTTATTGTTTCAACATATTTCAAAACTATTTTCTTTTTGTATACCTTTTATCTATTTTGTTTGTGCAAAATTTTCTGAACACAGGTAATATTAAGCCTAAATTTTATAATAATGGTCTTCGTTTGACTGTGATAGAGTCTTAGAAAAATTTGAAATTATTAAGATTGTGCTGCAGATCTACTCTCCATATTTTGATACCAAGTATGCATACATAGCTAGTATCAGACCCCTTTATATGCATATATTCAGATATATAGGGGTGCCAACTTTTGGGAAAGGCTGAGAAAGATTTTTTGAAAGGCTTACGAATGAAAGACAGAGTCAGCATTGCCTGACCCGAAGATTGAGCCCATGACCTGTAGTACGAGAACGTAAATATTTAATATTTTTAGTTATTTTATTTAATTATAATCGAAAAAATTTTGAAATGTAAAGTATATAATGTATTAAATCATTTTAAAGAATCAATGTTTTGTATCAATTCTTCTTCTGCTTACGTTCTCGAAATATGGGGAAATATACAAAAAATAAAATTAACATTAAGGCTGCAAACTTTGGACACCTCTTCTGACCAAACTATTGGCACCATACTTGGGGGATTCTCACGAAATATGATATTCACTGTCCCTTGCTCCAAGATCTAATACTATAATACTAAAAGAACTTTTTTTAAAAAAAAACTGATAAATAGCATTGCTGTTAGCATTTTAAAATGACTTTGCGCTGGCATTGACTGTTTTGTATACTTAAGAAATTTAATTGAATATCAAAATGTCATTTTCCTGACATGTCCCAAACAATATTTGCAATAATAACTAGCTTCAAAACTTCCCATACATTTTTCAAAATCTAATTTTTTTTTATCTTAAATCTATGTTTGCATTTCTAGAATATATGCAGAGAGTATTGTTTACTAAAACTTCGCTTAAAATAATTTTTTCTGTCAATAATTTGTTTGTCCCATGAAGATCTGTCATTTTCCTGGCTACTTTTATTTAGTGATTTATAACCAAAATAGATAGCGCCAGGAATCAATATCGTGTGTTAACAGATTGATTAGATACCCTCCTATATGAACATGTCCTGTTGCATGAATAAAGAACCAATTTTCTGGCTCAAAATCTATTTCAAAAATTTTTTCAAGGTGAGTAGGTTTTTATGCTGTCATTTTCCTGGCTTCTTGAAATCATTAATAACAAAAACTACATAGATTTATCTGAGTTATTTTAAAAAATACTGTTGTTTTCTGCAGAATATAAACGTCTTCGACCAAAATATTAAATTAAAGTTATATGCTATAAAATGGTGAATTTGTTATTATCCTGGCTGTCATTTTCCTGGCTTATGAATTTCAGGACATTGAAGTGTTACCAGAAATTCTTTTTAGCTGCTAATACTGCAAAGAGGGAAAGCAAATATTAACGTAATACCAAGTTTATGTATGATTGTAATATGCTTGTATGTAATCAAAGTTATTTATTTATTTAATGATTGATTATTATACACAATTTTATTCTGCACATATCAGCAACAAAAATTTTTTTGCTTCTTTCTACAGTGGATAAAAAAGAATTAATTTAAGTAATTTATGGTCCATCTAACATAAAGGCTTAAGTTGAGTTACTATTAACTTAAAATGACTGTTTTTTAAACTTCTAGGGTAATATGTCATTTTCCTGGCATTCAAGATTTGGTGAATTTTTATTTTATCTTTTTCTTGAACAAATGTCAATAAACTACACTGCTGCCTATAAGATATTATTAAGTGTAGCTAAAGAAGTATACAAAAAATAATTTAGATTATTTTGAAGACTTTAAATTTGAAGAAATTTTTTGGTCCGAATTGTCATATTTCGAAAGTATGGTTTAGTCAAAAAAATTACTTTTGTGTTAGTTTTCGTATCATGAAATATCGTTTGCACTAATTAAGCGGCATATTTGAGTCTTTTGAGTCTTTTGTGCTAGAACGTGAAAATCCGATCATTAGATTAAACGTTATTCAGGGTGGTCCGATTATTTTTTGCGATCTGTACCTAAAAAAAAGTTTTCAATACATTTAACAACTTCTACTTTCATTATCATTCAAAAACGACAAAAATAATGAACAGTTGTTTTACTTCTATATTTCATAACAAAATATGTAATATAAAGCTTGTTTTTTTATTTAATGCAATTTGTTTTAAATCAAACAGTAGCAGTAATCAAAACCTGTAAAATGTTTCTTTATCTAAATAAATTAAAGATATATGGGTCACTTAGATACAAGAAGAGTGATGAAAAATTGAAGTAAACACTTTCGCTTTCAAGACATGACCTATTAAACAAAATCACGATCAAGGCGAATGATAATGATTAAAACTCATGTTTTGATATAAATGTCATAGTGTTATTTTCTTCTTTTCCTTAATCGTATTTGAATCTGCGCAAGTTGAAAAATCATTTGAATCTGCGCAAGTTGAAAATTCATTTGAATCTGCGCAAGTCAAAAGGTTCAAAATTAATGTTATTTTTAACCTTTTCGGGACGGGGGAATCCTAAATGAATCAGAATGGGAACCAATATAAATTGGCAACTTGCCATGGATTTTTCGAAGATCTTTCACCAAGAAAAATGAAAAAGCCACAGTTTAAGTGCCTTTGACTTGAAAAAAAGCTGTAATTTCAAACAGTATGCACCAACTCGCTGTAAAGAATTTTCTGTGCTTTAGAACGAACAAATAACTAAAATATTTTAAAAATTCTTAATCTTTTTAAAAAATTTCCAATTTGGCGATTACATTGTAAACATAAAATACGGTAGACGGATCATGGGTTTAAGTCCCCTTGCTCTCAGGATAACCGTGAGAGGTTGTCGTGGTTTTTCTCTCTGGGAAACGTAAATGCGGGTGAGTCAATGAAATGTTAGTTAAAAAATCAATGAAAAAATTGATTTTTTTTGGGCCGGTTTTTTTCAAAAAATCTGTGCGTTAAGGGGTAAATTGAGGAAAATCGTAAGATATCCATAACACTAACGGAATAGAAAAAATGTTTTTTTTTCCCTGTTTTTCTGTTACATGCGATTTTTTTTAACAAATCTTGAATGCTTTCACTTTACTGATCTCAAATTTGTGCTCAGTTTCTCTTGACAGCCTACAGTTTTTATGCACAAACCAGAATTTTTTAATATTCACTCGTTTGAATACTAAGTGTCTTTACTTCTCTAGTACGTAAGGCGTGGTAGGAAGAAAGCACTAACACATTTTAGTTTATGATGCGGTGCGTTAAGTTCATGTGTTTTTTCAAAGACGCATATATGTATAGAAAAACCAGGGAGCCGTAGTGACTCAGGGGATAGAGCAATCGCCTTTCAAAGAAGTGAACCGGGTTCGTATCCCAGCGATGGCTGGCTGATACGAGTTCCTCACCCGGCTCCCACTGACCATAGTACTGGCGTAAAAATATCCTCAGTGGTTGACGGATTATGCGTTAGAATCCCCTTGCAGTCAGGCTAACCGTGGGAGGTTTTCGTGGTTTTTCTCTCTATGTAACATAAATGCGGGTTAGTTGCATCAAAAAAGCTCTCTACGGCGGCAAATTTCCACAATGCTTGATCTAGGAGTTTTTTTCGTCTTCTGGATTGGGTTCAAAATTACAAGGCTACAGAGTTAAAACGCTAGTAATTACAGAGTTAAAACGCAAAATTACAACGCTAGTAGTCGTTAACTCAATTTTTTTGGTTGGCTGTTCAACGACGGTTATAAGATATAATAAAAATTGGACCTCTCGTGACAATTAGGAAAAGTTTATCCTTGCGATATCTAAAAGTTTGGCATTAATAATTTCTTGGTTTGGGCTTTCTTTTTGTCTGTATAAGAGCTGCCAAATTTTACGCATTTTGCGTAAGGCCTTATATTTATATTTAAAGTGGTAGCAAAATTTAAGCTTTCTATTTATTTCTTGAATTTATAAATTTGTTTAAAATTATAATGACCACCACTACAAATAAATAAATTCAACATTCAAGTTAAAATAATCAGACTGGAATAGCTGCTAGGGGCCTTCTGCGCGGCCCAGGTGCCCAATTTTTAATAAATAAAGAAAGAAAGAAAATGGAATTGCTGAGAACCTTATACTCTTTTTGTAAATATTTATTCTAGTGGTAGCTACGTTTATGTTTTAATGTATTGATTTGTATTCATTCAAGCTTATTTTCTACACCACTACATACAAATGATTTTAAAGTTCATATAAAACGCCACTTTGTCTCTGATCTCTCGTGCTGAGGCTTTTAAAATATTGGCAAAATTTGTCAAAATAATAAAAATTTTAGCTGTTGCCTGTAAAATATTTTGCCAAAAGCGTAGAAACAGGCAACTCTGCGATAGTTTGCTAATGAATAATATGGATCTGTCTGTAATTGTGATTCAATTTTCATATTACTACCATTGAAGAAAATCTTCCTCGGGAAGATTAATAGTTGGCAGGTATGCTCTGCGCAGAGCTGCATACTACTACAATTTTTATAAAATATATGTGGAGTGGTTGGCTTTAAAAATTTTGCATATTATTTTAAAACCCTGCCTACGAGAACAAAGTGACTTTTTATGTTAACTTTTGAATCCTCCACATATGGGGGTACAGAAAATAATTTTAAGTCAAACTTACTAAACAAGGAATTATATATTAAATTATAAAATTTGCTACCATTAGAGAAACTTACCCAAAAGTTGGTAACTCTGTTTCTATGCATATACAGGGGTCTGATAACAGCTATGTATGCATATTTGGTATCAAAATATGCAGAGTGGATCTGCAGCACAATCTTAACAAGTTCAAATTTTTCTAAGACCCTATCACAGTCAAACGAAGACCATTATAAAAATTAGATTTAATAAAACATGTCGCAGATTCAAAGTTAAAACGACGCTTCTGAAAACATAATTAGTGTTATTTGAATGAGAAGTGAGTGCAGAAGTGTCGTTTAAACTTTGAACCAGCGATGTGTTCTGAAAATTTTGCACAAACAAATAAAATGTATACAAAAAGAAAATAGTTTTGAAATACGTTGAAACAATAACTTTTCTTCTGTATTTTATTTGCAATTTTTACACAGAATTATAAAATATGCTGATCCAAAGATAATTTAATGCAAAAAAATAATTTATTATTTTTTTATTACTTTATTTATGAAGTGTCGAAAAATTTTTTTAAGTTGTAAGGTATGCAATTTTTTGCATCATTTGAAAGAATGTAATTTTATGAGGCACAATTCAAAATTTGAGCAAAATCAGTCAAATGATTCCTAAAAATCGAATTTTAAGCATCTGAGCTTTTAGTATCACGCACAATTACAAAATTTGTTTATCCAAAGATAATTTCATACAAGAAGTAATTTATTATTTTTCATTATTTTATTTAAGAAATGTCGAAAAAAATTTGAATTGTAAGATATACAATTTCTTGCATCAGTTTAAAGACTGTAATTTTATTTGGGGAACTACACAATTTGAGCTGAAACAGTCAAATGATTCCTAAAAATCGAATTTTAAGCTTCTCAAATTTTAGTATCACTTTTTTGTCGCAGCAATGTGGAAAAAAAGATCTCAATTATAAAATTCGTTTGTCCAAAGATAATTCCATGCAAAAAATGACCTTTATTACATATTTGTTATTTGTTATTATTTTATTTAATAATGCTCGAAAAACTTTTGGACTGTAAGGTATAAAGTTTTTTGTACTATTTTAAATAATATAATTTCACAAGGCAAAATACAAAATTAGAGCAAAATCAGTTGAATAATTCCAGAGGAATCAAATTTTAAATACCTGACTTTTTTGAAATTCAATTTGTCCAGATCTATTCAACCAATTTTGCTCAAACTTTGCACATGTAGCACTAATAATCACTTGTTTTAATCGATGCCCAACTTTCAGGACCTTAGCGTTGACTGTTCCAGAGTTAAAATCACTTTTTTTTATTGATTCTCAAATTTCAGGACCTTAGCGCTGACTGTACCAGAATTAAAATCACTTCTTTTAATCAATGCCTAAATTTCAGAACCTTAGCGCTGACTGTTCCAGAGTTGCAAGAGATTCGAAATAGCTTTCTGTAACAAGGACAGACAAAAAATACTGAGTAAACACTAAGAAAAGTTGAAAAAATATTGCTAAGAATTTGTTATTTTATTTAAAAGTTCTTAAAATTTTTTAAATGAATGGAATTACTAAAATTTAAGAAATGGAATACTTACCCTTACTGTCTATAAACAATATTCAACTAGAGCTCTTAGAAATTAAGAATATATATTTTAAAAATTTCTTACCTTTTAAATCCTATATCCTTAAAAATTCTGATTACTTATCGTTAATTATTCGGAATTCTTTTAAGTCATGGCTTTTCTTTTGCTTATATACTTACAAATTTGGAAACATATTTTGTTAAAGAATTGAAACAAATGAAGAGCTTAGTAAATGAGGTAGGTGACATACAGCAATTTTTGCACCTAATTTTTGTCATTTGCTGGTGACATGAAACAATTTTTGCACGTCATTTTTGTTGTTTACAGGTGACATGAAGCAATTTTTGCACCTAATTTTTGTCATTTGCTGGTGTCATGAAACAATTTTTACACGTAATTTTGTTGTTCACAGGTGACATGAAGCAATTTTTGCACCTAATTTTTGTCATTTGTTGGTGACATGAAACAATTTTTGCACGTAATTTTTGTTGTTTACAAGTGACATAAAGCAATTTTTTTCACCTAATTTTTTTTCATTTACAGGTGGCATGAAACAATTTCTGCACCTAATTTTCTCATTTGCAAACAGCATGGAGCGATTTTTGAAATTAGTCGAGTCCAGCTCTCCACAACAAATAAGAATATTTTTAAAACATTTTGATGATTCTTTCGAAAATCACTCCTGTTTAAAGTAGGTGGTTTTTAAAATCACTTTTTGAATTAATGAAGCTACAGAAATGAAGGATAGAATTTTTCTTTAACACGAGAAAGCCAAACCTCTGCAAACATTTGGCCTAGAGATAGAAAACACGTGCACTGATTTCAATTTCAACTGGTGTTGACCTGTTTATATCATTATCATCATTGTTGAAATCCATTTTCGCCTTGAAGGAATCACTCTCCATAGGTTTACTACAAGCAATTAAGAAAAGCAAAATCCTTTCGCTCAAAATACTGCCTCGTGCCAAGTCATTTACACAAAAGTTATCAGATAAGAAAAAACATAGTTTCTCACATTTATTTTTAATACTTTATCTTAGCGATCCGATCTAAATTGCGTCGTTATTAGAAAGACGTTTAAAACAAATCAATCGCTTCCCTTTACATAACAAAAATATTTGATTCTTTAAAGATGTTATTTATGGGAGCAAGCTGTTAGATTTGGTGAATGATTCATTTATTTCAATATGGAATTGTTTTCTATATTTACCTTGCTTGCACACACTTAACACTTAAGAATAAAAACACTTAAGAATAAAAATTTTGTTCCAGAATGCGTAACACACTAATTATCATATTAAATACAACTTTATCCAAATTGAATATCATAAATTTTATTTGCTTATGAACATAAGTAGGAATATTTTCTCGGTTAAATTAGTTTTAAGCGATAAAGGAATTTCCATATTCGGACACATAGTCAGAAAATGTTGATATTTTACAATATAGCCGGATGTGTTTCTAATTTAACCATTTTGAGTCAATTTTCCTATTTCAAGGAGCTTCCTTCTTTTCAAAAGAGTTAAAAGTCGTAGTGTTTCGTTATTGGGGTTCATTACGCAAACTTATATAGATTTATATGCCATACTATATAAACTTTATAAATATTTATATTTGTACCTAAAGTCAAAGCACAATGCTGTTTTAAGCGAAAGAGGTAAGTAACTGAAAGATCTGTCCACTTGGAATAAAACATATGCACTATCTAGGCAATACTTTCTAGAAAAGAGAAGGGCTCAACACAGGTTACCATAAGCAAAACATTTGATCCTTTAATAGTCCAAACGTAATGACATCTTTCCTATTTTCCACCACTGCGCAGCTTAGTAGTTCGAACGCAGTGACTTCGTTCTTACTTTTAATCCACTGCGCAGTCTATATTCGTTACTTCGGACTACTAAACTGTTCCTCGCTGAGGCAACACCTCCTACAACTGAAAGCCTCCTCACGGTTTTCATATGTAGTCCGATCAGACCACAATGAAGATAAACCAGTTTACGAAGGAGCCATTTAATATAAAATCTAGTAAAAATACCTCCTACAACTGAAAGCCTCCACGCGGTTTTCATATGTAGTCCGATCAGACCACAATGAAGATTAACCAGTTTACGAAGGAGCCATTTAATAGAAAATCTAGTAAAAATACCTTCTACTACCGAAAGCCTCCTAGCGGTTTTTATGTGTAGTCCGATCAGACCACAATGAAGATAAACCAGTTTACGAAAGAGCCAATTAATAGAAAATCTAGTAAAATTACCTCCTACAACTGAAAGCCTCCTCGCGGTTTTTATACGTAGTCCGATCAGACCACAATGAAGATAAACCAGTTTACGAAAGAACCATTTAATATAAAATCTAGTAAAATTACCTCCTACAACTGAAAGCCTCCTCGCGGTTTTTATACGTAGTCCGATCAGACCACAATGAAGATAAACCAGTTTACGAAAGAGCCATTTAATAGAAAATCTAGTAAAAATAAGAAAGTGACAGCAAATATATGTCTAAAAATTTGTTTAATTTATGAATATGATTGGTTTGTCTTATTTACTTGTATACCACTACAGATTCAATTCTCAAATATATATGATAAATTTGTTTCAGTCACATTTAAAATATGATTTGGGTTCATGGGCACAACCGGTTCACTTTTTAAGCAGTGTGGAGTCTGAGGTTATTATATATGAATTAGCATATTTTAGATCGTCCCCTTGAGCCATTAGGATTGAGGTCTAGTAGGTGAAAATCCAATCATTAGATCGAAAGCTATTCTGAGCGTTCCATTTATTGTTTTGCCCACCATGCATCTGACCTAAATGATAATATAAAATAATAAAAAATTATTTTTGCATAAAATTATAATTGAATAAACGAGTTTTATATTTATGAGCAAAGAAATTTAAATTTACTTGAAAAATTTCGAGATATAGGGAAATTTGCAAAAAGTTAAATTACTATTTAAGGGTTCCAAACTTTCAGCCACGCGCCTGACCAAACTATTTCCAGATTTGCTGCTACCCCACGTCTATTTCGAGGGTCAGGAATCTAAATTCGTCGAAAAAATGTATTTTTTTCCGAAGACTAATGTTTTTGTTCCTGATATCTTAAAATATCTTGTAAATATCTTTTCATACTTCTTTGCTTTCTTGAAAGTCATTGTACAGACCATCTAATGAGAATTTCCCGGACTGATCCTCTTTTTTGCTTCTTAATGTTCTTAGAAGGCTCTGAATAGACAGACTAATGAGAATTCCAAGTCATTTCTTCAAAATTTAGAAGGAATATCAAAACATCAATTGAAAATTTTCCACATCAGGCAGCATATTACTCATTAGACAGATGCTATTTTTTTCAAAAAAATCTTCAGCTGGTATTGATTTTTCTGCAAATTTGTTAATTTATTCCATTGAATTCCTGAATAAACATAACTCTGCACCATTGGTTATAAATTTTATTTACTTCATGGAATGAGCATTAACACGTTGAATGCCACGATAATTTTACATGGCTTGCCCGTCTGGCCAAACGGTAAATAACTACAAACTAAATTTGCAAATATTAGACAGATTTTGTTAGTTATTTAAAAGGTTTAGCATGACATATCTGAAAAAAGTGGTGAATTATATAAGCCTTCGAATTGTTTAGAAATAGTGGAGTATAAAAATCTGCTAGATAGAATTTATTGAACAAAGAATCACAATTAATAAACAACCACTTGAAAATATTTATTCGCTGTCCGGAACAAGTTGACATCTCTATGTAGGGGAGAGTCGGGTAGCCCCGCCCACCTAAGGAGTTTTGCTTATATTTCTGTATAATATTGAGTAATAATCAATATTTTTGTATGTTTCTATTGTTTTATCATCTAATTAAATAATGCAAAAAGAATAAACCAAAAAAAGAATAGTTAAACTTAAAAAAATAGAAATTTAAAAAAACATGTTTTTCAGCTCTTTTCAAAATGTGTCGGGTAGCCCCGCCCAGTTACAAAAATTGTGTTTTTTGGCTATTTTTTCAGGTGTAAATGAGAATGACCAATGTATTGACAATAGATAAACCTCATTTATCATTTTTATCACAAAATTATTTTATTTATTACATATTTATATACTTTTAGTGAATTCTATCATTTAATAACAACAAATGTCATACTTTTTATCATTATTAATGTATATTAATATATTATAATATTAATATATATTTATATTAAATATTTAACGAAAATAATTTAATTTAAGTAACAATAATTAATAACAATAGTTGTTTTTCAATATAAACTTATTTGGTTGATCTCTTCTTATAAACTTAATATAAAATACTTCTTATAAAATTACAAATTCACTTTGTATTTTGATTGCATTCAAATGCTTCTGTAGATTGATTCGTTCACAAATAAGTGAAAATAAATAAGTAAGCAAATAGCTTATCATAATATTTATGATTTCTTGATATTAAATTTAATTTGGATATATCAATTACATTTTAAAAATATTTAATTTTTCATTTTTAAATATATAAATTTATGTTTCATATAATATTAAAACATATATTTGTTGTTAAAAATGCATATAACATTCAAATTTGAAGCAATAAAATAATAATCTTTGCAACCGTACATTTATCGACGAAATAAAATTGGGCGGTGATACCCGACATTCATGTGAGCGGGGCTACCCGAAATCCAATTTTTTTGTAAATTTGTAATTACTCGAACAATTTTTTACATACAAACTTCTTTCTTTGTGCAAATTAAACTTAAGACTACATACTTTAATGCTGTATGTATAGAAAAAATTATTTTTTTAGTATTAAAATGAAGTTTAATCGAAACATTCAATCAATTTTTCTTAATTTCATGACTTCTGTATTCAACATATTTTCAA